GGGGGGCCGTGAGGGAGGGTGATGTGGTCTCTGCTGGGGGGTTCTTGGATGTTGGGGTCCCCTGGGAAGAATTTGGGGGTTCTTGGATGTGGGGGAGTCCCACGTGGGGTCGGAGGGGCCATGGAGGGGCTGGGGGGGTGGTGGAGAGGACGTGGCGGGGCTCGGGGTTTCCTGGGGGTGTTCTGAGCAGTTTTGGGGTCAGTGGAGGAGCTGAGGGAGCCGAAAGGGGCTGGTGGGAGCCCCCGACAGGTTTTGGGGTGGTTCCTGGGCCTGGGGGGGGGTCTTGTGCCCTTACAGACGGGTTGAGGCCCCTCCCATCTCCAGGCACTACGAGAGTTCGGCCGCCCCCCTTGGGAACAGCCCCCCAAGCTGGAAGGGCCGTTCAGGTACCCCCTGCCCTTCCTGAGGGCCCCCCCAGCCCCAGCAATGCCCCCCCAGCCCCAGCAATGCCCCCCCAGCCCCAGCAATGCCCCCTACCCCTCTGAGCCCCCCGTCTGCCCCAGCCCCAGCCCGGAGGAGGCCGCGCCGGACCCCAAGGACGCCGAGCTCGCCGGGGCCGTGGTGGCCGCCCGCGCTGCCGCCCTGGGGTGAGTCACGGGGGGCCATGGGGGTTTTGGGGAGGGGGATTTCGGACCCAAACCCCCCCCTTCTGTGTGTGTGTCCCCACAGGTGGGGGCGGCTGCCGGGGCTGTCGCGGGCCCGGGTGCTGCGGGGGGCGGCGGCGGCGCTGGGGGGGACGGGCGGGACCCCCGGAGGCGACGACGGTGACGATGGTGACGACGGGCGCCTGCAGGGGGCGCTGCTGCGCTGGGCGGCGCACGTGGAGCGGATGGGCGGGGCCGTGCAGGTGGGCGGGGCCTGTGCCGGTGGTGGGTGGGGCCTGTGTGGGTGGGTCTGTGTGGATGGGTGGGGCCATGTGGATGGGTGGGGCCTGTGTGAGAAGTGGGAGGGGCCAGATGGGCTGGGTGGGAGGGGCCTGGAGGGGCGGGGCCATGTGGGAGGGCGGAGCCTGAGGATTCAAGTGGGCAGGAGTGGCTGAGGGGCAAGGGGGGCGGGGCCAGGAATCTGTGGGTGGCACCACACAGTAGTAGGTGGAGCTTGGTACTCCAGGGGGTGGGGCTAAACGTGACAGGGGTGTGGTCTCACAGAGGGCGTGACCAACTCCTGCTCTCCCCCCAGGAGGTGCCCGGGGGTCGGGCCCTGGTGATGAGGAGGCCGCTGGGTGTGGTGGGCGTGGTCTCGTCCTGGCCCTGCCTCCTGTTGCCGGAGCTCCTCCTCCCCGCGCTGGTGCTCGGCAACAGCGTCGTGCTGGTGGCCCCGCCCGGCTGTGCCGGGGCCGCTCTGCGCCTGCGCCAGGTGGGGACCCCCGGATGGACCCCCCCGTGACCCCCCCGGGCATCCCGGGAACACCCAGAACCTGCCCCGTTCCCTCCCCGTTGGGACCTCCCCAGGCCCGCCCGTGTGCCCCCCCTGCAGCCCCCCCATGTGGCCCTTACAGCCCCTCAGGACCCCCCCAGGACCCCCCATGTGCTCCCTGTGCCCCCTTATGCATCCCCCTGGAACCCCCTGTGTGCCCCTTGCGTCATTCCAGAACCCCCCAAGACCCTCCATCAGCCCCCCCCGACCCTTTCTGGGTGTCCCCACGGGAACCCACCCGTGTCCCTTCTGGGATTTCCTCTTTCTCCTCCAGAAACCCCCTCGTGAACCCCCCAGAGCTCCCTGGACCTCCCCAGGAGCCCCCCAAGGACCCCCCTTGTGACCCTCCCTGGCTCCCTTGGCCTCCCCACCCCGTCCCCTTTCCCCCCCCGAGCCCCCCAGGCCCCATCCCCTCCGGTGACAGCCCCTCCCGTGTGTCCCCAGGTCCTGGTGGCCGCGGGGCTGCCCGGGGGGGCCCTGGCGGTGCTGCCGTGGGGGTCCCGGGGGTCCCGGGAGTCCGGGGCCAAACTGGCCCGACAGCACCCCGATGGGCTGTGGCTCTGTGGGGCAGACACGGTGAGTGGGGACGGGGGGCACAGGGAAGGGGAGGGGGGGGTTGAGGGGGCTGGGGAGGGCAGCAAACCCCGCTGTCGGGGGTCCCTGTGGCACCGGGGGGTGCCCAGCGATGGGGGGGCCCCCGGCCGTGGGGGTCTGTCCCCCCCTCACCCGGCACTTCCTCCCCCCCTCCCAGGACTGGGCCTCGGCCCTGAGCGTCCCCCGCGTGTGGGGGGTCCCGGGGGGGCTCCTGAGGGCTCTGGGGCAGGACCTCCCCCCCGGTGCCGCGCGGGAGCTGGAGCTGCGCTGCACCCGCCCCCAGTGCCTCTGGGTGCCGGGGGGGGCACCCTGAGCCCCCCCCACCCCCAGAGCCCTCCCCAAAACCTCGGGTGGTCTCTGACCTCGCACTGTGACCCCCGCCCTGCAGCCCCCGCCCCAATAAACCTCCTCCCGCCGCAGCCCGTGTCGTGTCTCTGCCTGTGAGGGGGGATCCCGGGGGGTCTCGGGGGGGATCCCGGGGGGTCTCGGGGGGGATCCCGGGGGGTCTCGGGGGGGGGCCCGGGGGGGGGGGGCCCCGCCCCGCCCCCGCACGTGCCCGGACGCGCAGCCCCCCCCCCGCTCGAAGCAGCCGCACCCAGAGCTCGGCGGGGCCGTGGGGGGGGGGGGTCCCGGCCGGCGGAGCCCCCTCGGGAGCGGGCCGGGGTCCCGCGGGGTGAGGGGCGGGGGAGGCCGGGAGTGCCCCCGGGGGGGCGGGGGAGGGTCCCGGTGGCCTCGTGTGCCCCCCCCGCCTTTCCTGGGTCCTGCCCCCGGCTCGGTCCCACTTTCGCTTTCGGCGGCGGCGGCGGCTCCGCCGCGGCCCGAGGGGGTCCCGGGGGGCCCTGTGGGGGGGGTCTCGGGTCCCCGCGCGCCCCCCCCAGCTCGGCACCGCCATGGACTCGCGCCCCGCCAGCTCCGCTCTGGTAAGTGGGGTCGGTCCCCGGCCCCTTCGCGCGCCCCCCGCCCCACCCCGCACCCCTCTGGGATCCCCGTGAGACCCCCTCGGGACCACCAGCCCTCCCCCGGTGCCCCCCAGGTCCCGCTCCTGCTCCTTCTGGCCGTGCCCCCCCCCGGCAGCTGCTGCTCCTTCAGCTTTAACCCCGTCAGCAGCACCTTCGGCACCCACCTGAACAAGCTGGTGAGACTCCCCCCCCTCCCCGGGGCTGCCCTGCCCTCCCCGAGACCCCCCGGACCTTCGGGACCCCTCACACCCCTCCGGGATCCTACGGACCCTTTACGGGACCTCCGGCACCGCTCTGAGACCCAAAGGATTCCCCGCGACCCGTCCCCTGCCCCAACACCCTGAACTCCTTCATTTCCCGGGGAAAGCCCCTCCCTGGGTCCCGAAAACCCCCTGACCCCCCACCCGCACGGGTCATTTGGGACCCCCCGAGCCCCCCCCCCCGCTCCGGGCTCTCTTTGGGGACCCCCCGACCCCTCCCGCAGACCCCCTGGCTGCTCCTCGACTACCCTGTGGCGATGCCCAGCAACCTGGAGCCGGTGAGCGAGACCCCCCTTCCCCCGGGACCCCTGACCCCCAACTCCTGCACCCCCCTGACGGCCCCCCACCCACCCAACCCCTGACCTGTGTCCCCCCCGGCCCCCCCGGCCCCCCAGGACAGCGGCTGCTCCCCGCTGTGGGGGCTGCACTTCGGGGCGGCGGCGCTGCGGCGCATGCGGGGGGTGGCGGGGCAGGACTTGGCCCCCCTGCTCAGCACCCTCCTCGCCCACCTCAGCTTCGTGGCCGAGTGTCACATCCAGGTCAGCGGGGGGCTCTGGGGAGGGGCCCTGGGGGGGTCCTCCCCAGGGACTGGGGGTCCTGACAGAGGGGGGGTGCTGGGAGGCTCCGGGGGCGTTATGGGGACTCTGATGGGGGGTCCCCGGGGGTCTCTGGGGAGTTCACGGTAACTCTGGGGGGGTCTCCGAGGGGCTCTGGGGACCCTGCAGGGGTTGGGGGGTTCTCTGGGGTGTCTTGGAGGGGGGGCCACCGGGCAGGGCCGTGGGAGCTCTGGGGTCGGCATCCCCAAGGGAGGGGGGTGTCGAGGAGGGGTTCGGGGTCCTCGGGGGGCTCCCGTGACAACCCCCCCAGGACCCCCAGGGCTGCGTCCGGCTGGAGACGGTGAACGTGTCGCGGCTGCTCGAGACCCTCGGGCGGGACCTGGGGGAGCTCCGGGGGAGACCCCCCCACTTCCCCGGCTGTGCCCGCCTGCGCTGCCGCCCGGGGACCGCCCCGGGACCCCCGAGGGACCCCCCCGCGCCCCCCCCGCTGGCCACCCCCACCGTGCAGCTCGAGGGGGCCCTGGGGGCCAGGCAGGGCCCTCCCCCCCCCCGCGGCCACGGGCTGGTGCTGCTGGGGGGGCTCGGGGGGACCCTGGGCCTGGCGGCGGCAGCCTGGGTGCTGTGGAGGCGGCCCTGCGGCCAGGTGGGGCACTGGGGGCGCTGGAGGCACTGGGGGTGCTGGGGGCACTGGGGGGCACTGGG